TGGATGGATGGATGGATGAATGATGGATGGATGGATGGATGGATGGATGGATGGATGGATGGATGAATGGAAGGATGGATGGTTGTTTGGATGATTGGATGGTTGGATAGATGGAAGGATGGTTGTTGGATGGATGGATGGATGGATGATGGATGGATGGATGGATGGATGGATGGATGGATGGATGGATGATTGGTTGGATGGATGGATGGATGGATGGATGGATGGATGGATGGATGATGGATGGATGGATGGAGTGGATGGATGGATGGATGGATGGATGGATGGATGGATGATGGATGGATGGATGGATGGATGGATGGATGGATGGATGGATGGATGGATGGATGGATGGATGGATGGATGGATGGATGGATGAATAGATGGATGGATGGATGATGGATGGATGGATGGATGGATGATGGATGATGGATGGATGGTTGGATGGATGGATGGATGATGGATGATGGATGGATGGTTGGATGGAATAATGGATGGATGGTTGGTTGGTTGGATGGATGGATGGGTGGATGGATTGATGGATGATGGATGGATGGATGGATGGATGGATGGATGGTGGATGATTGAAAGGATAGATGGTTGGTTGGATGGATGGATGGATAGATGGATGGATGGATGGATAGATTGGATGGATGGGTGGATGATGGATGGATGGATGATGGATGGACGAAAACAAGACCAAGGAACCAGTACAAAGAAGTATCAAGTTTTTAGATATATAAAAAATATGAGGCTAATGCACATCACCATCTAGACTCCATCTAGAATTAGACACTCCTTTTGAGTACTTTGGAATTTCTAGAGTTACCTCCTTGGTGTCAAAATTAGGCTCTTATCATCACTGACGAGACTTAAGAGGACGAAACAGCCATATGATGCACTTGATTCTAATGTATCTACACAAAACTGAAACAAAGGGTGTCATTGTCTTGGTACAGTTTTCTTATGCATTTTTCTTTCTTGATAAATCGAAATGTGATTGGGGTTAAAGGCAAATTACGACAATATTTTTTTAATGTGTTGTGTAGAAAAAAAGCGTTGTTACTCAATAAGCCAAATATTACACATAATATTTCTTCTGTTATCATTGTAAATATGCAAAGCTAGATATCAAGATTCCATTCCATATTTAATTAAATATTGATCAATGGTAATATGATGTTTAGAGTGGTAAAAAATGACAGAGCCGTGCAAGAAAACATACAGTCTAACTTCATTATCTTAAAGTCGGTGGGACCAAGTTGTTCGAGTGATCGATTTAAGTGAGGTTGAATGTTAGGTGTGAAATACTTCGAATTACACAGGGTCTTCGAGTTACACGAGTTGGAGGTGACGAGGTTCGACTGTATTACAATTCAGTATTAAGTTATATTTCCTTCAAATATTACTTTCTTGTTGCCAATGGTAATTTGTTTAAAACTGAAACATTCTATACATATAACACGTCGTGTGAAAAAGTTTACGGTAAGCGGTCGCCGTTTCCATGCCAACCGTTATGACGTTGTAACAGTAATGCGCTTGGTATTATTCTTTGTTCCTGAAGCAACAAGTCTGCCTATTTAGGTTTTATCGAGGCACTACCATGCTAATAAAAATGTATCTTCGGAACAACACTTGAAATTACATTTGCAATAGGACATATGTAGATTCATCTTATGCGTCGATAATTTAAATATATTAATAGATATGTAGTCAATTGCAGCTGATCAGAGGCGCGATAAAGATATTGAATTGAATGATAATGTTAAAACAAGATTGTGGAAACATATACATTTAACTTTCCCGACATTGTTACGAACGTACTGGAATGTGAATGAGCTGCCCCAAACTACAAATCAAATTCTATCACTCTGGCGTCTAAAACAAACGACATCATTATAAGTATGGCTGGACGCTCCCTCATCTGTTTATTATGCCCACACACGTTAGATAAACAATGAAGCACTCCGGTCTTAGGGGGTGTCAATGCTAAAACTGTCCGCGTTTGTCATGAGGGATCGTATGTCACTATACATAAGTCCTCGCAACACCTCAAGGGAATCAGTTGATAGCCAGCGCGTGCCACACATCATACGATCGAACTCCCAAAGTGCGGGTAAACAGTACATAGTGATATGAATGTGTTTTCATGTTAAATATTTGATAATACTATACGCAAGTGTTCATCAAATCATACTATATTGTTAACTGAAAAAAGTTGTCCTCAACTCGCGTAGAAGTGTGTTATTGAAGTTTCAACGTTCGTCAAGTGTGCTTACATAAGAATTTGCAAGTAAGTATGTTTTCTTACAATCATTTAAAGATACTGGCGCAATTTGTTACGGTTTTGTCAAGGAAAGATCGCCATGATATTAATGTAGTACACAAATATTTTTTTGAGATTTATTTACTTTCTTTTTAAATTCAATAATTGATGCTGTTTTGAAGGATATATTTTTTCTATTATTTGAAGTAAGTAATGAATGTACGAAAATTAGGTCTCCAAAAATTAGATCTCCCAAATAAAGGCAAGAATTGGAGTGATATGCACGTTCCCTAACGCAATGCCACAACAGTGTGATTTGTTCTCAATAACTTGTTCTGATCTTTCCCGTTTAATTAGTTTAATTTGTATGACGCTGTACAAGAAGCAACCAAACCTAAACACCACTGCAGAGATTTTTGTTCCTGAATTCGTTTAGGGATTGGAAGGATTTTTTTTTTTTTTTTTTTTTTTAGATTTTTACTTTTCTTTTGATCACTGGATATTCCTTATTCGTTTCCTAAGCTTCAAAATCTAGGCAATTAACATCACTAACGAGTCCTAGAAGGACGAAACAGCTGTATGATGCCGTTGAATTTATTGTTGGCTCTACTGTATCTCACTCTAAAATATGAAAAAAGCTATTCACTTATCTGTCTTTTGTTCAATCTTCAACATTTATGCAGACACATCAGTTATATCCACATTATGGGATTCTTTATCAGCCTGAATACAACCATTGTTCTATTCATAAAGAAATACGTTTTTCGATAAATTGTATTTTCCTGTCATGGTTCTTTTGATCGTGGACAACCTTTTGCGGCGAGAAGGTGCACGTAGCGCTGGTCGGATCGCCAGGGCGAGAAACGACAAAAGGAGTTGTAATGCACAATAGGAATTTGAAATATCGTTACACATTAAACATGTTCACAATAATGATAGTATACTAACCATGAATTCAATTTTTTTTTCTTCTTTTATAAAACATGACAAAGATGATCATAGCCTGACAGACGAGATGACTGTACTTTTTGTATTTTTTTTAATTACATGGTGAATCTGCTACAACGCTGGAATCATCAGATCAAACACAGAGAAATGAAATTCCTTTGTGTTGTCCTAACAAGGCATGCGATCTTTGTTTTCATATAGGAATTGAATGACATTTAGAACGTTCATCTCGGTAGTACGAAAGTATATCGGTTACAAACTTATGACGAAAGGCTATTAAAGGGAAAGAAGACGAAAAAGAAATGCCTTTCGCTCCATATTATCATATTTCCCCATCCACTATTTTTCTATTGTTTAAATTTTTTATTCCGAAAAAGATTCTAATCAAGACAGTATGTGATGCATATAAAAGATTCACTGGCAATAATCAGTAATAACAGTATAGTCAAAGGAATTAACCGATTAATGTCAAGTGAATGAACGTTGTTTAGCATCCATGGTCAGTTGAAGTAAGAATGTTTGTTATGAAATTATGTGGTTATTTACTATTTATAGGGTGAGACGATGACGCGACCTCCACTGAACGACTAAGAATAAATAGAGAATATTAGACTCATATGTCAGGGTACATGATAGGATATTTCAACCGAATGTCACAAACTGTGGTGAACACGAGGGTTTGCTAAGGGTTTTACCACATTTTGTGACCCCAAGGGTTATCCTTTACCCCGATAAATGAAAGAATATTTTTCTGTGATTTCTCTTTCTCAGATATTGAAAAAAATCTTTCGCTTCAGACGTCAACAATGTACTGCCAAGGACGCCATATTACACGAGAATCTTATTTTTTTACCTTTTAATTAATCGACAAGTTGACAGTTGGCAAAAAAGTTTGCCATAGAAAATTTAAACCAAATATGTTCTTGCAAATAACTATTGTTGCACATATGTGTATACATTGTATCAGGCGATTACACGTCATATTCTACACTCGTACCTGTATTACATTGGTAGGTTTGTAATACATGAGCGGTGATGCCTGGTGTGTTGCCCTGGACCGACGAGTGTTGCACAATTAGAAATGAGGAAGATTTTTTTATTGCACTTTTCGCTATGAAATATTTAAAATTTAAATTTGAATTTCTCCCAGACTGCATTGTGGTACCTTTAAGGAACGACAACTCTAATAATTAAAAGAAATCTGAGAAACTACTGCCCCCTTAAGTGGGAGAAAAGTTTGTTGTATTGTATTGAACCTGATCGTAAAAAACACATACTTGAGTAGAACCTTAATTCAAAATCAAATCGCTTGAAACTACGGCTACATAGGAGCTATAGGCGATTAACACAGGCCATGAAAAAGTACAAATATAATAAGGCTAGGTGTTCCAGAAGGTTCAGAGTTTCCTAGTTCTTTTTAACACCCGTCATGTGAATTTTTGTCATCCCATCTTAATAATGTCACGTTCTGAAATGAGAATAACGTAAACAACCATGAAACCACCAGGTAAACTGACACCAGGTATACTGACTAGCATCAAACTTATTTGACTTTATACCGCTCAAGAAAAAATCAGAATATTTTCTCATGAACCTGCAGCTGTCGAAACCCTGTGTCGAGAATTAATGTTGTGTGTTCTTTTGTTTTTCGTCTTTGTTCTTGCCAAGGAACTCCAATATAAGTATATATTTTCTTATCGTTTTTTAATATCTTGGGATTTCGATAAGACGAGCTTACATTTCAATTTCTTTATTAATTACATCATTTCCTATTTATCTTTTCCAGATGAAGTGCGTGTTCCAATTAAGTGTCGGGAAAGTGTTTTGTCTACTTGCACTTTGTATCACCCCGGACGCTTTTCCGTACAAACAGTCATGTTCTGATTGCTTGCCGGACGACGAAGAATGCCTACTAAAATGTGTCCTACAGAATCAGGAAACGAACGACATTGATTCCATGTTACTTGTTTCCTCAAACAGGAAACGTTATCAGCACCAACTTAGATTTGGAAAGCGAAGTTCAGATGGAATTACGGGTCAGCCAAATATTCTAGATGAAGCATTTCGGCCGCAGCTACGGTTCGGTAAGCGTTCAAACATACCATCAAAGCGGGCATTTATGTCTCATATACGATTCGGAAAACGTGATTTCCAGCTAGAAAACCGACCATTCTTACCACAAGGAATGTTTGGACGAGTACAAGAAGGACAGGCGTCTTCTGGGAACTCGCCAAGTATCGATACGGGAATTTCGGGAATACCAAGAATGTTTTGTAACAAACGTCAAGAAAAAAGGTTTCGGCCACAAGGTCGATTTGGAAAAAGACTCAATCCAAGTTCAGAGACAATTAATGACGACAATGATATACAGTTATACACAGGTAAATTCATCATCGATCTTACAAACAAAGCACCAATGTTCAGTCTTTAGAAATATATTTTAAGGTGAAATATCAGAATAGGCATAATTTCCTCAAATCTGATTGGTCAATACTATTATAAGTTTTTCTTATTGTCTCTTAATTTTTCATCATTATTTTGCATTGATGTTGTTTGTTAAGTAAAGATTTCATATCTTACACACCTTTCCAGCACAACCATAACTTTTAATTATGTTTATTTTCAAAATCAAAATATTGTGAATCGTTCAGGGATTTTTAATAGTAGATTTTAAAAATTGATTTTTTGCCAGATTGATGTATGTTTGCAGAATGAAAATAAGAAATCCTTAAAATACAAAAGGAAACACGCTATCTGTTGTAAACGAAAACGTCAGGTTTTACAGAATATGTAAATGTACCAACACCATGAGTGTTTATTTACTGTTCATTTAATCAGAAGGGAATTAAATCACAAACTAATCAAATTTTTGTTTTAATCTCTTATTCAACACCAGGGGAGTATGGTGTTCATCCAGTCCAGGTGTGTACCGCGTAAAAAGAATTAGAAATGAAATAATGTCAGTATGTTTTGGATAATGTTATATTCCTGTATAGAAGGAATTTAGGGAACATGTACCTGGTTATATTTTCATAGTGTTTTTTCAGGAGTCTTTGTGTAAATCTTTCTTTTACTCTGCACGTATTTAGTCAAAGTTGTATCTAATATGAGTTTGGATTATTATTCTGTTCATATTTTGTTACTTTTTTGATGTTTTTATAATCATTAAATTGGTATGAAAATTTTATATATTAACCAAACGGTAATGATGTCCACGTAGCCAGTTTTGACACCAAAATTATAGCTCACTAGTCTGGCACCAGTCACCTAGCCAAGACATTCCAGACTACCTATCTTCAATGTATAAAAATGACAATAAATTTCCACGGTGTGTTATATATAGTGATGTTGTTGATCCAAAGGTTCCATATTTGAATTATCTGTCATTATTGTACCTGACTTAGATATAAATAAGTATATATATGTATATATATAATATTTCTTTATGTAGATTACATATTTCTTCTGCATCTTACAACTGTAACTATGGCGTAATCATCAGGTAAGTTTGTGACAGGTCAGGAGTCCTATCAAAATTGAATTGTGTTACTTTAGAAAAGTGGTTTAATAGCGAGATGAACTTTAGTGAGGTGGTCTTGATAGTGGTTCTTTCAGAAATTTTTCAATTGAAATGAAGGGCTGTTAACAGGAAGATGGTGTTAATGTTCAGGTAGCCTTCATTTAGAGAGGTTTAAGAGTAGATACTACCGGTATGAGAATCTTTCACCTCATGAGGGTGAGGTGGGGAAGGGGGACGGGGGAGAGGGGGCTTTCACAACCCAAAGGAGGGATTATTTATTGTCAAACACGAGGCTTGCCGAATGTGAAATGATGAATGATCATTTTTCTCTTCCTTGTATTCCTTGTCAGTGTATTGTGTGTAAACAGAAACAAGTGGATGGTCTATGATGTGACGAAGCCAGCTTCCCATACGCCATACCCATTGCTATCTAATATTTCACAAAATATGATTCTAGTTTACATGCCAATAAAACGTAAAATGAAATGGAACTCAAGACAGCTGCACGCACAGGAAGTGACATTTCGAGGTTCCCCTGTCAGGACAATGATATGACGTCACAGTATCAATTCACTGACGTCATGTCAACAAGTAAATCAGGTCAACGATGTGGAATATTCGGAAAACAAAACGCATACGAGTACCTAATAAAGGCAGCAGGGGAAGAGAAAAACAATGTTGGTTAGATAGGTGATAATTACCCCCGAGAAAGGATGTTTTGATCGTCTTTTCCTTCGGGATCCACCTTTCTCACCTCCAAGGAGATGAAAGATTCGCTATTAATCTGTATTATAAATTCAGAGTGTAAATTGTTCAACTATGATATGTGATGAATACTTTACAGACGCCATTAGGTATCCTTCATGTTCAAAGTACATTACATTTGCGTCCTCTCTTTGTGTTACAATAACTTCAAGTGGATTCAGGTAATACTGCTTCGAGTGACATGCGGAAACTAACTTGTAGATTTCCTAAAATTATTGATGATAAAATACGGATAAGGCTTCCTTAACCTGTCCGTACAGTCGCGATTCTCCAAATATTCTTTATTTTATGAAAGTTGAGTTCACAAGCCTGGAAGTGGATGCTGTTAACATCAGCACTACTTGTTAAAAAAAAACTCCATAGTTGCAATGCAAATATACCCATGTGATATCCTTGCCCCTGCATCCAGGTTTTTCAATTACTAACAAACACTGCAGCAACCAAATGTAGATGACTTCAAAACTACCCAAGAGTTAGTTTGTTCCACCTTTACTTATAACTATGGTCCAACTGGGCACATAGTAACTGGCGATTTCAGCATTATCCAAAATGTTAAGCTCTGAGAGTTTTTTCATGAACGGTCCTTAAAATCATGTAGCCTGTCCTTTAATTGAATTATGAATGTATTCCTAAAAGAATTGACAGCTTGAAATCTAAAATGAAAACAAAACACAGGTCAGTATCTGCAGATACGACGTCCAACAACTTTACCGTTTTCTACAGACGTTATCACATTTCCTTCATATAAAAAGAACTAGACTAGCTTAATGATGCATGAAGCCCCACCTATATACATTATGTAATCTTACCAAGGGAGAAATACTGACTGATCATGCTGCAGTATTATAATCATTTAAATTGCCTGATAAGGTCACGGACCTCCCTGTTTATATAGGATTCTTAAACGTCACAAGAATCCATACAAACCAAGTTTTATTGCTTGTTTGTCTAATCGTTCCATCCATCCTTTATCAAGACTACTACCTAACATCGTTAGTACTATAAAATCTGTGTTACAGTCTTATTGTGATATTACCTATTCACGAATTGATTAATTTTAAAGAACTCCAAAGAGATTTTTAACCAGTCTTTAAAATCCTATTATTACTGCTATGAGAACATTTGATTCTCCAACTCTGTACACCACCATACCCAATTCTAATAAGAAAGAACGCCATAGTTATCTTGATGTAAGAGCACTCTTTTCCACGAAAGGTGAACAGCAGCAAATATAATATGGCTGTGAACTACATGTATAATGAAAGGTATGTCATAAAAATACGGAGGACGATATCATAAAAATGATCTAGTTTCTTGTAGACAACATCTTCGTCGAGTTTGGTGGGAAGCTCTTCGAGCATAGCCCTGGCATACCTATGTGAATCAACTGAGCGATCTGTTACCTGACTTGTTTTCGTTTTCATTCAGATACCAAAGACCTGGCAATATCCTTCAATTTCAATTTCAGATATATCGATGACATCTGGTCATTAGAGAGCAAGAAATTTATTGACCACCTCCATTGTATATACCCGCCAAATTTGGAAATCAAGACAGATTCATAAACTAGGCGCTTATCTCGATATCATCTTAATATGGTCAGCTTTTCACTAAGCTGTATGATAAGCGCGATGATTTAAATTTCCCCATTGTGAATTTTCCATTTCTATATAGAAATGTCTGCCATTCCACAATTATGGTGTTTACATGTCGCAGTACAAGGGCACTCTTTGTTTGTCTGTGGGTTCCATTATTTATACTTTGTTCTCGTTTGAGATCGTGACATTATTTACTTGAATTTACCAAGACTTACATGGTGGGTGTCGTCGAAGAAATAGAGGACGATAACTCTTCCGGAACATCTGGTCTTATTCTTCTGGTACTTTTTCAGGAGTCTCCATGTAAATTTTTCTTTTGTTAATATTTGCCCTTGTTTTATGGAATTGGAGTTTGGATTATGATTATGTTGACATGTTGGTATTTTCAGGATTTATTTTGCAACATATGTAGGTGAAATACTAACAAAAAGGAAATAAATAAATATTGAGTCATAACCTTCAAATAATGACAGTCTACTTTAAAGTCTGTTTTATACCGCTTTCTCTATGGTTAATGGAACCACAGCATTTATAAACCTAATTGGCAAGTGTTCATTACAGCTAAATGATATCACGGGATACAGTCTTACGTTGTGTACGTTCTACCGTCTGTCCTTACACTATATATTGCCCAGGTTATCTCTTGAACATTATTTGTTAATTGAACTTCATATTTGGGGTATAAATTCATCTTGGTGATGAGTAGTGTCATGTATTAAATGTAAGTTGCTCTCATCATCTTTTTGACCTTGACCTAATCACTAGAACATCATACTTGGGGTTTAGTATCTCATTGGTAAGGCTGAGTGCCTTGTATTAAAAAAACATGTAGGTCATACTGACCTGATTTTTGTTATTTACAATTTTATGTGTCAAGCGCATAAAGGTTCCCGCCATTCGTGTATCTAATTCCACATTATGTCGTCACTCGTGTATGATCCTCAGTACCTAACTCAAATTACAAGCCATAACAACAACGACAAAACATGAAGCGTTTTGGTAGAGATTCAACATGATATTCGATACATAACGAATTTGTCATTACGTCGTATTGCCAGAAAATGTAAACACAAAATAACAGCACGCATGACAAATGCAAATACGATCACTCTGTGTAACCTTATACGCAGCGATTCGGTCGAGAAATGCTGCATATGTATCTGCGAAAATTAAATGATTATTTAAATACAGCTGATTGATCAATCCATTACTGAGAATGTGGCTGTGCTTTATCTAGAACTATTTACAAAGTTTAAACATGCTGTTTTAAATCGACATATTTGTTTGATTGTGCAAACGACACACAAATTAACAGCTGCCACATCTTTACTATCAGGACTTGTACTATTAATCATTGGTGGTAGATTCGTCTTTCACCAACACTATTCACCAACACGTCCGCGGTTCGATTCCCCGACCACGTGGTTTTCTCGAGGTACTCTGGCTGCCTTCCATATTAAGATCCCTCTTCCATTCCGACCGTTAAGAATAATCAACATGATTTGGAATAACATGTTTCACAATTGTTGTTGAGATAGCACAGAGTAC